CTGCAAAACACAGGTCACTTGGTGCTCCCCTCGAGGGAGAGGGGCCCTAGTCCGGCAGCCCAAAGGTAGGGGGGCAATCGAAGGTGTTTGGTGTTTCTCAACAGCTCAGCTTTGGAGCTGCAAACAGGAAAATAATTTTCCTTTCATAGCCTTCCTACGACGCACTCTCTTCGTTTTCTGTCTCGCTGTCTCCAGCAGCCTGTGCTCTCTTTATCGCTGCTGGCTCCATGGGGAGCGCGGGGCAGCGTGCGAGTAGCGTGTCCTTGGGTGAGTGGTTGGAGGAAAGAGGTTTTGGTCTGAACACCTGCAAAAGAGGATCTTGCAAAATAGAGAGGCAGAGATTTAAGGGAACTGTGGACATCTTGGTCTCTGGGGGCTGCTTTCTTGGGTGAGAAAAGCAGATAACCCTGCAGTCCTACGTCAAATGATGCTGGTCGCCAGCCAGTTCCCTGCCTCTCAGCTGCGGTTTTCTTCCCTTGTTTTTTCTGGCTGCAAAACTCTGGGATGTCGTCAGCTTGGTGCCCTGTCCTGCTCCCGGGCTTCCCTACTGAATCCAAGGCTATATTTTCCCCCAAAGGCACCTCCACACAGGGGTTTGCCATGGAGCTGAGGATTTTGTCCCTGCCGACCAGCTCTGCTTCCTCTCTTCCAGGTGTGTGCGGCTGCTGCGGCGCCCTGCGTCCCCGCTACAAAAGACTTGTCGACAACATCTTCCCTGAGGACCCAGAGGTAAACGAGGCGCTGCTTCGCGTGCCGAAGCTCCGGTGCTTTACGCACCGAAGCTCCGGTGCTCGGGTTGCAGGGAGGTGGTGTGACCTGCCCAGAAACAGCTCCTGCGAGGCGGGCGATGCTTTGACTCCATAAGACCGTGCCTGGAGGGTTGGATTTTCCTTTAAAGCCTGTTTGTGAGCAGAAGCACAGAAGCAGCTCCTCCAGCCACATCGGCCTGGAGGGACAGGCTTCCTTTCCCAAAGGTGCCAGGCAGATGCACCATCCGAGGACGGATGGATGGGATGATGGGGGACTGGACCTGAAGGCATACGTCCTCTTTGCATGAAAAGGAAAGCAGCTTCTAGGAGCGGGGATCTCTTGGGACCTCAGTCAGGCTTTTGAGCTCAAAAGCTGTCCGAGGACGGAGGGATGGGATGATGGGGGACTGGACCTGAAGGCGTATGTCCTTCTCTTTGCATGAAAAGGAAAGCAGCTTCTAGGAGCGGGGATCTCTTGGGACCTCAGTCAGGCTTTTGAGCTCAAAAGCTGCTTATGCTTCCAGGGTGTGGGGAAGCTGGTGCCCTGCTTGCTGCCTAGCTGAATTGGAGATGGGGGGTGCCCTGCCACCTGCACCTGGAGCATCCTGAATCTGGCCTCTTTGTGTCCTTTTCACAGCCAAGATGCGAAGGCAGTGGAAGAGGGGCTCCCGGGTGGGGGTAGCGGGGCTGGGATTACCCAGGGAGGCGATGAGCGCCTGTTTTGTCATGGCACTGGCAGCAAAGCTGAACAAGAGAGGAGGCTGCTGCCGAGCCGTGCGGAGAGGAGGAAGCACCACAGTTGTCCACGCTGTGGGGGATTGGGGCTGGCAGCTTGGCATGCTTGTGTCGTTTGGCCTCAGCAGCCTGGAGGTGTTGATGTCCCTGTCTGCCCCTGTCCCCCTTGGTGCTGGGGCATTGCTAGGGGCTGGCAAACGGTTCTCGTCGTATTTACAGTGTGGGGTGCTCAGTGGAGACTTGCGCTGGGGTCACCCCGGGCTGTCGTGCATCAGAGAGCCCTCAGCTGAGGCCAAATGCAATCCTCATTTGCCTTCCCTGGTGTACAAGGTGTGGGGAAGCCCTGGGATGGGACTGGCGCCTCCAGGTCTCTGGCATCGCTGCCAAGGTTTGCTGCAGAGATGCTCCTGATATTTGCCAGGTCTGGGTGTGAGGCCGTGACCCCCCTGCGCTGCTGTCTTTCAGGATGGGCTGGTGAAGACCAACATGGAGAAGCTGACGTTTTACGCTCTGTCTGCCCCGGAGAAGCTGGATCGCATCGGTGCCTACCTCTCCGAGCGGCTCATCCGAGACGTGAGCCGGCACCGATATGGGTAAGGGCTGGGAGGCTGTTTCAGCCACCCCAGTGACTGGCGTAATGGTGGACCACTAAATAATAGAGGAGGGTCAGGCAAGAGGGAGGATGTATGGGGTACGCAGCTCCTGCATGCTCCAAGATGTCGTGAAGCTATGAGCATGCTGCAGAGAGACCTGAGCGTGTTCTGCCTCCAAAAGTGAGACATGGGAGCACGCAGGGATGAGCAAACTCCTTGCAAAGTTGCAAGGGACCATGCAAGCTGGGAGCCATATAGCGTTTCCCTGGCATCGTGATGTCCATGCTTGAGGAGTCTGCGTGCGTACGGTGTTTGTCCCCAGCAGCAGGACTGCCATCATCAGGAGCCTGTGGCATCCTCCTGGCCTTTTTAAAAGCCCACGGTGGCTCTTCCAGAGCCAGATGGAAGTCTGGCTAGGTGTGAGCAAGCAGCTAAACAGGGTGGCTCTGGCTGCAGCTTGCTGGGAGTTATTCAGGACAAGCTTGGGTGTGTTGCACCCCATGCAAATCTCTATTGAGCTATGGTGATGTGGCACAAGCGGGAGTAAGGATGCAGTGCAGCGCGCTGACGCTTTTCCAGAGAGCACGTGATGGGGATGCATTGGGCTGGATGAGGATTGCTGGGTTTGCTCTGTCCGGCTTACCTGCGTGGTCCTGGCTGGGCCCCGTTCCCTTTGCCTTCCCTCCCCTCATCACTTCTAGCAAGACTTTGCCGTGTTTACTGCAAGGAGAGCAGCACCCACGTGGAAATAGCTGACTGCCCTGATTAGAAATGCTGGGGGAGCATGGGAGGGCTCCTTCCCTTTGAAATAGCTCCTGGATTGATTCTTGTCTCCTGAACAAAGCCATGGCAGACAAACGTGGCTCAGCTTCGTGGTGCGAACCTCAGCCTGCCTTTTATCCTGGGGGAAGAGAAGCCAGCAGCCTGCCTAAGAAGTGTTGAAGTTGGAAAACCTTCAAAGCCTCATCCACATCACCCGTCATTGGGAGTGACAGGACATTCAAAGCTCTGCCTGATGTTCTGCGGTTAAGCGGCTGTTAACAGGCTCTATTTGCTATGTTGGGAAAAGAAAGGCTTTCAAAGATTTTTGACATCTAATGACAAGCCTCGGCGGGCGGAGGGGGGAATACATTCCTTCCTCCGCCGCCTGTGCATATCGGCTCCTAATGGGGTTGGAGCACTAGCTAATTTTCAAAGTCGTAACTTTGAAATACCTGAAGTGGGTTTGGATCAACCTTTTGTTTGTAGGTCGGTGGTGGCTGGCGCAGCAGGGCTTGCCCCGCTGCAGACACCGTAGCCAGGCTTTGAAAGAGCAGCCGAGTGCGTGGGTGCCTCTCCTGCGTGTAAGATGAAGGTAGCCTTGATTCCAGGCCTGTTGGGTGTCATTTTTGTTACCTTTATTGCTAAAAGGAGAAGGTATTCTTGTTTGAGTTTGCAGCAATGCAACCCGCCATCTGTAAGAGGATGGTTGGGGTAGGTTGGAGGTGACAACTCCATGAGTGTCCCTTTTCCCTCTTGGTGGCCTGTGTCCGGTTGTCCCCAAAAGAGAAGCCATGCTGTTACAATAATATCAGGTACAGAATGTTGTTTTCAGCCTTGTTTCCTGTGAGAAAGGAGCTTGATGCTTCATGCTGATAGTCGGTCACTTCTTCATACCTTTTTTTTTTTTCCCTCTGGGCCAGTTTTAACCCAGTTTGACAGATGGGTAGGAGCCTCACAGATCCAGGAATAGTTGGCTGCTTATTTTCACAGTATCTGGAAGAGCTGTAATGGTGCCTGAAGGACACTGCTGCAGTGTGAGCTCAACCACCCTACAAGACACCAGAAGATCTATTTAAGACTTGAGCCAGATTTCAACAATTCTGGGGCCTCAGGAGAAGGGATCGATCTTACTGTGTTTTACCAGCTGGAACCTGGAAGTTCAAGGTTTATCAGACACCTCCTTTTCCCCGCGAGGGCAGTTTGCCTCCCCAGCTGCCCTTCAATGAGCAGGCAGGGCTGGTGCACGTAGACGGGCAGCTCCTGCCCACCTTGCTGCCGGCGAGCTCGGTGCTTTCGGGTTTCCCTCTTGCAGCCCAAGCTGGTGACTCCTGCTTGCCACCCAGGCTGCGAATCCAGCCGAGCAAGGAGCTGATTTGAAAAAAGGAGCTTAAAGGAGGAATTGTGCTCGATATAAAGAGATCTGTGCTTGCCACCTCCTGCTTTCTTGGCCGTGGCAGATCTGGGCTTGATGCGAGCTGCCATGGTACAAAGATTCGCAGCTGCACAGAGAGCAGGGAGGTGGTAAGGAGCTGTAAAGTTTGTTTTACTCCCAGTCTCCTGGTAACAGGTCCACGTCAGGTGTTTGGGTACCTCAGAGGTCCTGCAAGAAGAGCTGGAGCTGTGAGACTCAGTGCAATCACCTTTTGGGCTTTTTCTGTGTTTTGGGCAACTCCAGCTGGAATAAACGTCTGCTCAGAGTGGTCAGAGGCTGGGGTTTGCTTCTTCGCTGGGCTCTATGCACACAGTGGGCGACCAGCAACTGGAGGTCAGTGCGGTCATGGCACGAGCACCCCATCCAGGGACTCTGGCTGCGACGTTGGTAATGAACCAGACGCTGTTGGTGCAGAAAGCGTCGCAGGACCAGCCTGTGAACAGGCTTCTCCAGAGCCGCTCCAAGCAACTGGTCCAATTTGTCTTGGAAACATGAAGTGACATCTGACAAATGCTGCAATTGCAGCGTAAGCATCTGGCCACGGGCACCCGATCGAGATTCATCGCTGGACACGAGGTCTTCCAACTTCCTCTCAGAGGCAGGAGCACCTGGTTTATTAAATAGCCTGGCAGATGCGCCGTAGCAGCTTGCAGCAAAGCCAGCTGCCGGAGGGTGGTCTGCAGGTGAGCTCAGCCCGGTCGGGAGGGATGGTGAAGGGATGTGCTGTGCTCAGGGACACCTCTTGCATGGCCCAAGGACCTGTCATGTCTGTGTCCTGTCTTGCTGATGTATTTGAACTATTTTCTGGGCTTCCCCTGTCCCCATTCAGCACGCAGGGCCAAGACTGAGTGATTGAGCCCCATCCTTAAGAGAAGAGAAGGCTGCGGGGAGACCTTATTGCGGCCTTTCAGTACTGAAAAGGGGCCTGTAGGAAAGGTGGGGACAGACTTTTTAGCAAGGCCTGTTGTGACAGGACAAGGAGTAATGGATTTAAACTAAAGCAGGGGAGATTTAGACTGGATATAAGGAAGAAATTGTTTACAATGAGGGTGGTGAAGCACTGGCACAGGTTGCCCAGAGAGGTGGGAGATGCCCCATCCCTGGCAACATCCCAGGCCAGGTTGGACGGGGCTCTGAGCACCCTGCTCTGGTTGAAGCTGTCCCTGCTCACTGCAGGGGGTTGGGCTGGGTGGCCTCTGAAGGTCCCTTCCCACCCAAACCATTCTGTGATTCGATGGTTCTGTGATCCCTGGAGCAGGGCTGCGGACCCAGGTAAGTCCTGGTGCAGGCAATGCTGCATCCTGCTCTGTGTACTGCTGGAGAAAACCCTGCTCACCCCGGGAACTTCTGGGGTGATGCGAATAAGCTTTGCAGGGTTGCTTTATTGTGTTTTTAAGCACAGCTTTTCTGGAGCGTATCAGTCTAATTCTGGGTTCTCATCCTGTCCCTCCTCTCTGGCCAGGACCAGCTGGGTCTGTAAAAGGCTGCGTTTGGCACTGAGCCCACCCTGTACAAAGCCCAGCGCTCCCTCATGGGGTATAAAGACCAGTTCAGGGCGAGGGAAGCCCACAAGCAGCACGGGGGGAGATGCAAGGTGTTGCTGACAGCCTTGTTCCTGGGGTCTTCGCTAGGAGGAGAGATGCTGGGAGGATAAAAATATCCCAAGGGTGTTTTGGGTATAAAATGTTTCTCCTTGGGTCGGCCAGGGCAGGAGGTTGGCATTGTGCTGGTGGGTACCCAGGCAGTTTGGAAGAGGGGAGGAGGAGGGATGGCCGCGGGCCCGTGCTGCTGTCGGGGAGTGACCCTGGCCTCTGCCTATTCCCAGGTACGTGTGCATTGCCATGGAGGCCCTGGACCAGCTCCTCATGGCCTGCCACTGCCAGAGCATCAACCTCTTCGTGGAGAGCTTCCTGAAGATGGTGGCAAAGCTGCTGGAGTCGGAGAAGCCCAACCTGCAGATCCTGGGGACCAACTCGGTGAGTAGGAGTGCAGAGGGAGGTGGCAGCACCCTGCTGACCCTGTCCTTGGCTTTCCACCCTGCCTGTCACCCCCACATCTCTGCACAGTGCCAGGGCAGGAAATCTTGTTGGGAAAGGACGGGGAGTGGCTGCAGGGGAGGATTTATGGTGTCCCCTCTCCTGTGTCCTGCCACACGTGAGGTTTCTGAGACCCCAACTGTGCTGCCCGTGTGCTGTCCCTGCTGTTTGCTGTCTGTGACCAGTCGCTGGTTTCTGATCTCTGCTGCCATGCCTTCCCTCTCTTGAATTCTGCTTTTCCTAAATGAGCCCGAGGACACGGGGGCTGTCAGCAGTTTCGGACAATAGACCAACTTAGGAGGTGATCCCCATGGATTTTTGGGAGCTCTTTGTGCTCAGAAAAGGACTGGCTTAAACAGAGCTGCTGCTTGCAATAAATGGCTTAGTTGGACTGGGGATGTGTCGGTCACAGACATAAAATGAGGGGAAAGGAGAAGCACGGATGAACAAAGGTGACGACCTCCCAGCATCCAAACTGCTGATCCTGGCTGGCAGCCAGCAGCCACTTGTGCACGGCCTTTCTGCTGTTTTTTACTGGGAACACTGGGTGTACCTGACAGCTGGGCTTGCGAGGGCTCTGCCAGTGCTCGGTAGCTTGACTCGGACAAGCGGCGTCTGTCCTTGCTGCTTTTTAAGTGGGGTTTTAGATGGAGCTGATCAGCCTGTGGGCAGGAGGGTGGTCTGGGTAGATCCTCTCTTGAGTGCCTGGGAAACGTATAGACAGCTCAGCCCTAAGCTTTAATTCTCTGCTGTGTGTGACAGGGAGAGGGACAGTATTAACGTTTCTGCTGACGCCTCCTGGACAGGGTAGTGCTGCATCCCGTGATGCCTCTCTCCTCCAGAAGCCGGCATGGTCCCGGACATGGGGTTGTAAATTCCTCCGCTGAGGCATGGGTGGCTGAGCAGAGAGCTTTCACACCCCGTTCTCCCTCGCAGCTAATTGCCCAGCTGAAAGCGATGTGAGCTGCCCGTCGGCAAACCTATTAATGCACAGCCCTCGAAGAAGCGGGGAGATCGATCCCTCAGTTGAAACCCACTGCCAACGACAGCTTGCTGTGGCGTTTTGGTGTGGTGATGCCACCGTAAGCCCTGGGTATGCTGCAGGGGCTGCCTGGGAATGCCCCTTGCAATGGGAGTGGGGTCTTTGCTCAGCACCCACATCCCTCTTGCCCAAGGGTGGCCCAAGCTCTGTGGGAGACTGGAGAGGTGTTACTTGCTGTCCAAACTTCTTGAGACGTGCCAGAGCTGCCTGGATCCATCCCAGCGGCAAGCAGCTGGGTCTCTTGCGAAGAAAACACCCCACGCTGCAGTGCAGCCCTGTCTGCAAATGCATGCAATATCCCCTTGCCCAACCCCTGAGCTGTTTGGGAAATGCAGGGGTTGTCCCACGCTTCAGAGCGACCCTGGGGTAGAGGTAGGGTTTAAAACTCAACTCAGCCAGCATCTCCCTCTCCGTGGCCACTCTCTGGACACTCCTCAGCTCCTTGGATGGTGCCCAAGCAGAGCCCCACATCAGAGGAGCCACTGGCACGTGGCATGGAGCTGAATCTCAACAGGAGCTGCCGGCATGGAGCCGGGGAAAGGACAGCCCTCACCGCAGGGGCTCACGGTGCCACAGCGGAGGCTTCAGCGAACCGGCCCCAGCACAGACATCCTCGAGCGGGAGGTGTTGGGTCAAGGCAAGACGGAGCCCTGCCTCGTGTTTCCTGCCCGTGCGGAGAAAACCTCCCATGTTCAGGCACCCGTGGAGAGGAGGGATGGTCCTGGAGCACGGATAGGTGTTTCCTTAGCGCTGCTGTCACTGCGGTCAGGAATCTGTAAGCGGGTGTTTTAATGAGGAGTCCAGATCAGAACGATGGTTTAGTGATGTGGTTTTTTACCTTCTCAAGCGTGGCGGCATTCAGAGGGCAAATAGCACAGAAAACTTGCGGGCTTTTATAGAAAAGTGAGTAATGATAATGAGGCACTTCTTCCTATATCTGCTAATGAGGAATGTGCCTCAGGCTCGTGTTTAATTAGAGGGTGCTGTCTCAAGCAATCTTCACAATAACGGAGCTGATGGCAAAGGCGGGAGGAGGTTGTTTATAGAAGCCTGCTCCAAGTGAGTCATTCTCCGCGGCGTGAAATCTCGCCTGAAACACGTCTCCCTCCTCGCGCAGAGCCAAGGTGTCGCGCTGCGGAGGGGCTGATCCCGGGGACCAGCCCGCCGGGCTCCACAGCCGCAGCACCGGAGGCGGCAGCGAAAATCCAGCATCCCGTGATCACTGTGACCCCCTCCTATAATCCCCGGGGTGAACATACGGAGCTGCAGCTTAAATCCACTTTGGTTTCTCATCCTCTTTAGGAAGCCGCTGGGCAACCTCCCTGCTTGGGGTAGGAACCATCTAATTTCCAGCTCGATGTCATTCCCATTTTATTTTTCCTCGAACCAACATTGATCTTTCATTTAAACACCTCTTCCCCCGCCTTGATGTTCCTCTTGATGTATTTATGTCTGATGTATTTATAGGTGGCAGCGTTATCCCTTCCCAGCCGTTGTTTTGCTTCTCCAAGGCAGCCACGCTCCTCGCATTTCCCCCGTGCTTGCTCCCTGCTTGTCCCAGTCGTGTTGCAGTTGGAGCTTGTCGGCTTCAAGCAC